TTGAACATCCAATTCCGGTTCTGTCTTCAACCAGGCATATAGATCCTGGATTGCAGGTTCGGCTCGGCATTCTAAAGGCATGTACAACCTACAAAAGAATAAAAATTTAATCAACGTCAACTTTGAAGCAATAAAAGAACATTTAACATAACATTAGTACAGAATATAAAAATGTTTTATCTGTCCTCTATATCTCCAATTTATCTCAAACTTACAAGCTATGGAAAAAACTGGTCAATATACAGACAATTCTTAAATATAATTAAAATTGACTCAAGAGCAGCAAAATGCCAAACCACATAAAGAAAAATAAAAGAAATCTATCAAGTCGATGTACGATCATTTTCTTCCACAAACAATACAAGCTCTCCCGTAAATTTCAATTGTACTGTTACTTATTATACATATGTTCGTTATATTTGAATTCGTTTCCCCGTAGAGAGAAGTAAACATCGAGTGGGAACGAAAATGAAGGTAAACACGGTGTTCCCATGAAGGTCGATTAAAGGTCACCGACGGGCGTGCGACACCCACCAAACGTCGTCGTCGTCGTCGTCGAGCTGCAGGTCCGACAGGTCGATGAGATCGACCTCGTCGATGAGATCGACCTCGTCGACGAGGTAGCCATCGTGAGGGTGTTCCGCGCTCGTGACAGTCTCGCTCGGATCCGTGGTGCCCGCTGACATATTTCCCGGCCGAGTGTTAGCGAGTCGCGCGTATACGTGCACACATATTTCACCGTTCCCGGGTGCTCGCCAGTGCTCGGCGCCCCGAAGACCAAAGACACGAAAATAGCTCAGCGGGGGGAGAGAGAGAGAAAGAGCGTGAGAGACGGCAGAAGGGAGGGAGCGGACTTAACTCGCGACAAGCAGAAACAGGAGCGACGTCGATGACTCTCGAATACTCTCGATTGGGAGGGAAAAAAATATGATCACGGCCACCGAGGTCTAGGACCTCGTCGCGAAACATAACCACGTTGAACGCGGATGCTACGCGGATGCGCGAAAACTGCGTTAAGTCACGGCGCGCGCGGCGCGAGGATCGACCATGAACGTCGCGCACCGGACGGCGAATTCGAATTCCGAAGTCTCTAGGCTTCGATCGTTTTTATTGGAAAACGTGATTTTTCCGGGCCAATGGCGACGTCGCGACGTAACCGTACAGTTTCGCGTCTTTTGTCCAGAATTTTAGTTTAGATCGATCGAGCGATCGGCCGATCTCGATCTTTTATTTATTTAAAAATATGTCTTCTTGAAAATTATAAAAGTTTCGAAGATAAAATATATTTTTCTCGATATTTCTGATTTTTTTTTTGTATTTTTCGATTGAGTCCGGTATTCCTCTTGTTACAAACGTTTTGCTTAATGCTTTTTAATATTTTTAATTTTTAATTATTTTTCTCTTTTCCAATATTCTTAATGAAAGATTTAATTAATCTTTGTAATATTGTACTAACTTTTTTGTACTCTTTCCTTATATTCCTTTTTCTTCAACATCTGTTTTTAACGATCGAATAATTTTTAGAATAAGAAAAAGATAAAAAACCGAGATTAAAGTTAATTTGTACAAAAATTAATGAAAATTGTACCGTACGTCGTTTGAATTTCGAGTGCAGAAAGCGCAGCACTGCGCAGCCGCGAGAACTCGTCGAACACGTATCGACTATCGCGGCGATTCCCGCGCTTCGACCGGGTCGAGACTGTCGAGAGCCGGTCGAGAGATCGCGATTGGTCGCGATTCGCAACCGCCGTTCTCTCTCATCCCTCATTCGTGTCTGTTCGTGTCGCGCATTTACCCGCGGCCCAACCGTCAAGAGGCAGCGACCGGTTCGTCGTGCTCCTGTTGTTCGTTCCCTGGTCTCCCTGGTTTTCGTCAGGTTTGGTTTTCACCTCTCTCTCTCTCTCTCACTCTCTCACTCTCTTCTCGCGTGCTGATCCCGACTCCGTGTGATTCCATCAAGGTACGACCCGACAGAGAATAATCCGGAATCCGCGCCTGGCGCCGTGGGGCCCCACGGCGCGCGGCTCCAGGATACGACTCGCCGCACCACGTCGCCGTGACGTGATTCTCGCGCGCGCACTTTGATCCCCCCGCGTCCCCATCCTCTCTTTCACGTCTCTCGTCGCTTAGCATCCGGCGTTCCACACGGTTTCGTCATCTACGCGCCACGTGCCCCGTACCCTCCCGATATTCCTTCCTGCCGTCCGAGTTCCCCGCCGCGAGCGAAGCGGAGCGTCGCGAGGGCGCGAATCCCGGCGTCTTTAACCCTCGTCCTCTCAATGTCATTCCGCGCGCGCCGTCGCCCGTCTCGCTCCTCGCCGGCCGCGATTCTCCGAAAAGAGAAATAACCTTCCCCTCGAAGACGTCAGGACCGACTCGCACGGTCGAGGGAATCGCGGAATTTTGAAGCGCAATTCCTAACTCGTAAGTAGGCACCATACGCGACTCGCGAACTCTCCCTCGACGTGCGTCTCGTGTCCCCGCGTGGCTGGCGCGCCGTTTTGCGTTACTATTGCACCGAAGCTCCGTAATTTCTCACGCAATCTCGTCTCTCCGGTGCATACAATTCTAACACGCTCTGCAAGCATCACGTTGCACCCTCCGTGTCTGAGAGATTTCACCGATCTTAAAGTTTATCACCCCCGAAACCAGGGGGGGGTCTGTTTTCTATTGCTGCAGGACTAGCGCCTAGGTCAGTTCAGCAATAGAAAACAGACCCCTGGTATCTACCTTGTAGTTGAGTTGTTAAAACAGTCTCTTTCACCGAGAGTTCTGTCCCTTAATTAAATGACATGAGATGACTTGTTCCTACTGAGAATGTAAAACAATATTTTTTTCTTTCATTAAATTCCCCTTTGTGATTGTCAATAATTTATATTACTTAGAGATATATTTTTTTCTGCTTTCATTATGTATGTATTTAATAATCAAACTACTTATATACGCTTCTTTATCTATTCATTCTTGAATTACGTTGCGAAAATTAAGTATTAGAGACCTGGTCCTAAAATTAGTCTCGCTTGCCTTTTCTTTTTATTCATATATATACACCTAAGCAATGTACATTTTGCATAAATGTAGCACCGCTTAAGTGATCGAGCTAAGCGAAAATTAAAATTCGAGCCGATTGAAGAGGGACGATTACCGAGCTTTCAAGCTGAACGCCAAGAGACTCTTTAGATTAATACAGATATAGCCTCGGCTAAAGGTAGAGAATTGATAGCGACGCATTTGAATTGTAGTAAATATGACAACCGATCCGGAACGCGCCGCCAATACGAGCGGTACAGAATCCGTCGAAGACGAAGACGATAACCATCGCAAAATTTTAAATAGCAATGATGTGTTAGCTGCTCTTCGAGGTGGTGGTATTACTGCACCAGGATTTGCAGAGGTATTGCAATATTATTTCCCGTCTTCATTCGGCGAACTTTACCTACATACACATATCTTCGAATTTATATAAATTGATCTTATTAAATGACGCGCGCGCGTTATTTTACAGTGATATTGCAAGTTTTTTTTCTGAATCACATGCTTTTCTTAACGCTTGTTTGCTTTCACATCCCATTTAACCGACCATTTTTGACCGAATGATACATCATGTTTGTTACGCATCTCGAGTTGTGTGAATGTCATCCATAGTTTACTGATTTAAGTCAAATTTCATATAAATGTTTTTCTTATCGCCGATTCATGTAAACCAATAACTTGCAATCTGTAACTCTCAATCGATAACTAATTATTAAAGTAAAAAAAAGAAAACGAAACTTTAAAGAAGCTGGACAAAATATAAATTATTAAATTGTCGTGTTTGATTGTGAAGTACAAGTGTATAAATTGCGTTTTCAGCAAATGCAGTCTCTTCCTGCTCCCGTCAAACGCAGGGTCAAGGCACTGAAACAACTGCAGCTTGTCACTACTAATATCGAGGCCAAATTTTACGAGGAGGTCCATGCCTTGGAATGTGAATACTACAAAATGTGCGCCCCCCTTTACCAGAAGCGGAATGACATAATATCGGGCACTTATGAGCCAACCGATGAACAATGCGCTTGGGAAAGCGATGATGAAGAAGAAACGCTAACTAATTATATGAAAGAGAAGGCAAAGATCGAGGATACTGTAGAGATAAAGGATGAGTATGTTTTTTTTTTTTTTTAATTATTATGTACCTGCTTATATAAAAAATTAAGAAAAATTAGATTTATTTTAGAATATTATTTTAGAATTTGTGTAATATGATTTTAGAGCGACGGAGAACGAGGATGATATTAAAGGCATCCCAGATTTTTGGCTAACAATATTTAAGAATGTAAGCTCGCTATCCGAAATGGTTCAGGAACATGACGAGCCGATCTTGAAGCATCTACATGATATTAAAGTAAAATTTCTGCCATCGAATCCAATGGTGAGCTACAGAACGAAGTAATACAATTAATAATTAGAGAAGAAGCTTGATTCAAGTTAATATTCTTTTTCTTTTTCAGGGATTTATTCTCGAGTTCTATTTCACGCCCAACGAATATTTCTCTAATTCAGTGCTCACTAAAGAATACATCATGAAATGTACTCCAGACAAGAACGATCCGTTCAGTTTTGAAGGGCCAGAGATATACAAATGCAAAGTAAAGCTTTTACTTGATCTAATTAAGTTTTTATTAATTAAGTATATAAGTAATTGTGATACTAAAAAGATAATTATTTTTGTAGGGCTGCGTGATCGATTGGAAGAAGGGCAAGAACGTTACGATAAAAACTATTAAGAAGAATCAGAAGCATAAATCACGAGGATCAATGCGTACCGTGACGAAAACGGTTCAAAATGATTCCTTCTTTAATTTCTTCAGTCCACCAATTGGTAATTAATATTTCACGTATTTTTTAATTCTCCGTGTATAATATAGTAAAATTACAGCCGTTTCGTTCTGACTTGTGCCCTGATTGGCCATCGCCCTAAACGCTGTTTTCTTGTACGTGTGGAATCTGTTAGTCTCATTCTCGTTACAGGCTACGTGAACATTCTTCTTGGTGTCCCTCGACCCGGGATGATCACCAGGGATATGATTGTACGTGGAGTCCAGTTTGCGCTCGCCGCTTCGTTGAATCTCTGCCAGCAACTCTCGTCTCAACGACGTGGGAGCTTTCAAGGTGGGACGCACAGTTGGCTGCGGTTGGTCCAGATGCTTCGTAGCGAATTTCGGTGCTGCGTCCAACATGTTTGGATTCATCGGCGTGGATTGATTATAGATAGGCACCTTGGAAGATATATCTAAAGCGCTCTCCTTCGCGAGTGTCTCGCGCGTGAGAAGGACCACGGATTCGATTTCATCCGACGGAACATTACACGTTACATTCAGATCTGCTTTATTTGCGCGCATGCTAGGTATGTACGTGTCGTTAATCGACACGGGCGAATTTGGTCTCTCGGCGCCTTTCGCCAAGGACAGATATGTAGTATCTAACGACTTGACGTCATCAGTTGCTTCATTTTGCGATTGCACGAAGGTAGCATTAGCGTTAGGCTCGGTTACAAAAGTGGAAGACAAAGTAACTATTTCTCCTTTGCCGAGACTCGATCTTGACAGTGAAGATCCGCTAGGAACTCCAGTGTTGTACGTCTCGTTCAAGCCTTTATCCAATTGAAGAGATTCTTTGCAGGTGTTGCCTAGAGTATTTGTACGATTTATCTCATCCAGGCTATTGTCGTCTTCCTGCATCACGAACGTTTTGTCGACATCATCGGAGTTTGAGCTTTCTTCCATATCGCTAATGCTTTGAGCCATGTTCTTATTTATCACTGATACGTCGTTTATAACGAATATGGACTCGTTTATAGACGCGATAACAGACGCATTCAAAATAGAAGGCTGCGACACGTCCAACAGATCGCTGAACTCTGGTTCGCCTAAATTTATGAATGAATCTATTCCTTTGGACTGCGACAAGTTTAGGAAAGCTTCCATGTTTTCCTGCCCCGACATCGCGGAGTTTTCGTCGGATAAAACATTCATAGTAGCTTTGGTGGATGGCTTCAAAATCGGTGGCACAGATTCTTTATCTCCAATCGTTGCAGGTAAACATTTTCCCACCTAGTAGATAATGACACAAAATTTTACACACTTAAGCAATGTACTACAGACCTTAATTAATAATTCATAGCTATTGTTAAGCATTTGAAAATTTATTCTACAAGTATTTACTTTAATATAACTAAGAAATCCACTTCAATCAATCCTGATCAATTAATTTCTAGTATTAAATATATAGAGAGGGAACAACCTACATTTTCTATGTGCGTAACATCCTGTAGCTTCTCTTTATCCGTCGTAGAAGGTGGTAGTCCTTCGAAACTCGATTCAAAGCTCATTCTAGCCGATCGTTTCTTAGGTCTCGTGAATGTTCTAGTGTCGATGCATTTTCTGTTATCTGGATACATATTAAATTTAATAGCAATGGTAAGCAATACTCGGATTATAAGATAGTAAATCAAGCTGAGAACAGTTAGCGAACCATTTAGCGTGATATCATGCTTTGTACTTTGAACATCCAATTCCGGTTCTGTCTTCAACCAGGCATATAGATCCTGGATTGCAGGTTCGGCTCGGCATTCTAAAGGCATGTACAACCTACAAAAGAATAAAAATTTAATCAACGTCAACTTTGAAGCAATAAAAGAACATTTAACATAACATTAGTACAGAATATAAAAATGTTTTATCTGTCCTCTATATCTCCAATTTATCTCAAACTTACAAGCTATGGAAAAAACTGGTCAATATACAGACAATTCTTAAATATAATTAAAATTGACTCAAGAGCAGCAAAATGCCAAACCACATAAAGAAAAATAAAAGAAATCTATCAAGTCGATGTACGATCATTTTCTTCCACAAACAATACAAGCTCTCCCGTAAATTTCAATTGTACTGTTACTTATTATACATATGTTCGTTATATTTGAATTCGTTTCCCCGTAGAGAGAAGTAAACATCGAGTGGGAACGAAAATGAAGGTAAACACGGTGTTCCCATGAAGGTCGATTAAAGGTCACCGACGGGCGTGCGACACCCACCAAACGTCGTCGTCGTCGTCGTCG